GCCAAATCAAACAGAATTAACTACCATATAAAACAACTCTTTCATTACCCCACACATCTGATAAAATAAACTTTGGGATTTTCCAAAGTTTCCACTTCAGTAATTAGCAAACAAAATTGCTCACCAAATCACCAACTCCATAGATAAAAGCAACAAGTTGTATCTCATTATCATAAATTACTAGATTGAGCAACTGGAAAAAAGTTAAAACCCTAATCTAATTAGAAAATAAACACTTTGCTTACCCTAAATAGTAAAGAATATAATCAATAAATAACAATTAAATCATATAACAAAAATTTATATCCCATTTGCCAGACGAGAAAATAAGCTCATTCAAGCCAGAAGCCAGAGAGCCCAAAAGAGCTATAATCAAAAGATGATACCATTAAACGTTCATTTGCCTCCCTAAACTAACCAGACAAAACATTTCACACAAATCTGAACAAACCCACTTCCCTACCAACATAACAAACCAAACTTCACAGAAAACCATACAAATGCCAACGAGCCCACTTCCCTACCCACTTAAAAATCCAAACTTCACACAAACACACAAATCATCACCAGATTAAGAAGCCATAAACATACCCACGAATGGTGCGCCAAAGGATCTTAGCCGGAGCCCTGAAGTGAATAGGACCATGAGAAGGCTTAGTGTTCATTCTCTTCCTCAAGAACCTCATGTATTTCATCTTCTGCCTCACGAGCCCACCGGAGATGCAAATCTCTTCGCATCTAACGACCACAACTTTCTGCCCATTCAGGAGTTCCTTGGCCAGGACGGAGGCCAGGCGGCCCAGCATGTGGTGCCTGGCGTCCACCACCACTCTCTTCACGCAGATCCCGGAACCCGACACCATTGTTGTTAGTTTGTGGGTTTTGGTTGTGAAACGGCGGGGTTAAAATGAAGAGCAGAGGGAGGCGCTAGGGCTTTTGGGTTGTAGTTTTTATAGTGTTTGTGGGTTTTGTTGGGCTGTGGTGTTTAATTTTGGTGTATCGGTGATGGGTTGAGATCCGACGGTCTACATTGTATGAAAGGTGGGGCCAACGTGACTACAGAGATTTAGGTGGGTGGAATTATAATTCTGTAAGCACATTTTCTGCTTATAATTTAAGAGTAAACGATTTTTTCCCACCCAAATAATTACCTAATGACACTTTTTCACTCCAAAACTTTTAAAATACTATTTTTCCATCCATAAAAGTATATTTAATGACACTTTTTCATCGATCCCATCAATCGTTGGCCGATTCTGACATCGTTGCGATTCCACACCACCATCATTAGCTTTTTCAGTTATCACTCATCAAAACCCCTTAAACCTTACTTCTGCTAACCCCGTCAATCGTTAGCAATTGAGCAATTAGGTTTTGTGTAACCCCCCTCCGAAGTCAAATTCCAACCAATCACAATCACCAAAAGACTCATCAGCCTCAAATCTTTAAAAGCTCCAAAAGAATAGATTGAGTTTGCTCTAAGTTTATTGCTGAATCAAAAAGTGTATTTTTTAGGTGAAAAAGTGATATTTTTAAAAGTCTGTAAATGGAAAAGTATCATTAAACCATTATTTATTTATTTGGGTGGAAAAAAGTCATTAACTCATAATTTAAAGATATAAGGGTCTATAAGTGTCAAACTTGAAAAATTTACGGGTGTTTACTTTGCTTCTTAGTTCTTACACGGTGGAATGGACAGGGGTTTCTCATTCCACCGTTTACTTGGGTTATATGGAATGCCCCGAACCCAAAACTGGGGGAACCCCATACCTTCCAAATTTGGGAGGAAGGGTATTCCATCAGCATGGAATGACCAAAAATTCCATCATTGCCCCTGTTTCAATTTTTTTTTTTTGCCAATTTATTTATATTATTTAATAATTATCAAATTAATATATTAATAATTGAACTATTATCGAAAATTTGAAATAACCATTGTACCCCCATCGCCATCACAACTATCGCGAGCAGTCGACCACCACAATCGTCGTCTTCGATTGTCCATCGACATCTCATCATTGTTGACGTGACTTTTCATCGGAATCTCACTTTTGTCCTTATTGCAGGCACGTAAAGGAATGTCGGCCAACGATCTATGGATCTAAGTAGATGCTTGAAGTCAACTCTTACCAAAGAGGAGTCATGTGCGATGACCAAATTTGTCGGCCATCGCGCATGACGTTGTTTCGGTGGTCATCGATGGTTGGAACCTGCCCAAACCATAAATCGTCAAACAGTGGTTCCACACGTGCCTTGGGTGACAATAGAAGTGTGTCCAAAAGTTGTTGCCTGGAGATGTTGATCGACATTAACCAGTTTGGAATTTTTTATTTAATAAAAACAATATTTTTATATTTATTAAATATAATAAAATGATATTATTTTACTTATATTTATAATATTGTATTTCAATTTAATTATTTAATGAAATATTTTAAATTATTAGGTTAATTTGTTTAATATATTATTAAGGAATTTTATTGTCTAACAAAATATATGTATTTAAAAATTTAATACTAAGGGCATTTTCATCCAAAAATCATAATTTTATTCCATTCCATCACTTCTCATTGTTACAAAGAAACATGTAATCAAATTTTTTTTGGGGTAAGTTAAAAAAAAAAAAAAATGTAATCATATTTTATTCCTTCACTTATTCCTATTCCTCTATACGTATACTCATTCCCATGCATTCTCATATTTTTCTAAAGGTCGAAATTCAATTTCCCACTCTAGGTTTTGCGAAATTACTTTCCCACCCTTTGAACCCCAAACTACAGATCCATGGGTTAAGTGTTATACTTCAAGTCTGAACCACATACCAAACAAGTGGAGGATTGAGAATAAAGACACAGCGTCACAGCCAACCAATCAAAGAAACTATATGCTGCAATCAAATCCAAATGGTGAAATAGGGTAGCAAGTCTCACCTTAATGGTGTCATAGTGGTTCCATCAACTTCTGATGAGAGTCTGCCCAATAAGCAATACTTGTGTCCCTTTTGAAGCCTCAAAACCCTAGCATTTAAGAACACAATTTAGTACGCAAGTTCTCAGGAGGTTTGGAACCATAACTTCCTAATGAGAACAACGAAATACTTGAGAGCATCAGTATGACCATCCTCTTCATCTTATCATAAGGAGTGGAACTCCCTCATAAGCCAAACGAGCAAGGGCAGCAGCTCCACGTTTGGTCTTGTGAGGAATCATTCTAAAGCCAAATCAAACAGAATTAACTACCATATAAAACAACACTCTTCATTCCACACCATCTGATAAAAAAACTTTGGGATTTTCCAAAGTTTCCACTCTAGTTTAGCAAACAAAATTGCTCACCAAAACACCAACTCCATAGGAAAAGCAAACAAGTTGTATCTCATTATCATAAAACTAGATTGAGCAACTGGAAAAAAGTTAAACCCTAATAATTAGAAAATAAACACTTTGCTTACCCTAAATAGTAAAGAATTAATCAATAAATAACAATTTAATCCAAAAGCACCTTGCAAGGATGTCAAGATTTATATTTTTTATTTGATCTGATAAGTTTTTCAGATCAAATAAAAAAACTAAATCTTGTAACTTGGCAATGAGTTTATATCATCCCAACAGGCTGCAATGTTTTAGGAACAACAAATAAGAAAAGAAATTAACATGTAAAATGATTAATATTACCTTTTTTATTGAAATAAAGAAATGCAATCACAAAGAAGAGAGAAAAACCATCACCATTTTGTTAGGTTCAGGGGAGAGAGTTTGCTACTTAAAAAGCAAATGATGCATGAATACAACGTTTGTGCATGATCACAAATAAAACCAGAATCGCTTGGATTGAACCTGTGCCGCTTTTTAAAATAAATTTAATTAACTTTTATTTTTAATTAACCTATCAATCCAACACATAAATTAATCTAACACAAACAAGATTCAAAGAAATCAAACACCAAGAATTACACACTAAATCTGCCGAAACAAAGCAATGCTTTAACCCAAGCGTAATCACTCAATAACTCTCTATAACTTGCAAGAAATCAGAGACCTATCCTAGCCTCCAGAAAGAAATGCAACCCTCTCACAAATCTGCCCAGATTACAACGAGAAAGACCCCAGTAAAAAGCCCTAAATCAATTGCTCATTCAACACACAAGAACCCTAACAATTTCAGACTAAAAAACCCGATAGCTGTACACCTTCTAGCTATGGTTTGCCTTTAGATTGAAAAATGTAAAGCGTGTTAACTTAAATGTAAAGGGAGCAAGGAATGGAGTACCTGGATCGAGGAATGGAGCTATCGTCAACGAATGAAGCTATCGCCGTTGATTTCTAGCGAGGAACGGAGCTATCGTCAACGAATGAAGCTATCGCCGTCGATTTCTAGCGAGGAACGGAGCTGTCGTCGTCGATTTCCGACGAGGGAGGAAGACGTCGTCAATTTCAAAGAGTTCAAATGCGATTTGGGTGGGATTTCAGAGAGAACAGAAGACAGAGCCGAAATCATGACAATTTTCGCAAAGAACAAAGTGTTTACTTAGAAATTTTCGTGAGAAAAACAGAGAAAGATTGAAAGAGAAGAACCGAAGATTGAAGAAGACGAGAAAGGGGAGTGAGAATGCGCTTAGGATTTAGGGATTGTTAATATGTGGACCGGTTTTTCTGCCGGTCCGATTGGACCGACGGTTTACTAATATTATTCGGACCGACGGTTTACTGATATTATCCGGTTTTTATCCGAGTTAAAATGGTTCAATACTTATAATGGTTTTGAGAGTAAACCGAACCGGACATGGGACCGATCGGTCCAACTGGTTGGACCGATCGGTCCGATCCGGTTTTTAAAACAGTGGGTCCAGTCTGACTTTTAAAACAATGATGGGAACTAACCTAACAACAGATTGTGTGATATCCCAGCTTATTGCAATGAGATACTGCCAGCTTCACAAGTAGAAGGCCAGGTATAGTTTTTATGAATCGCAATGCAGCAGCTAAAGTGCCATATTAAAATAAGTCAGGAAATCGAGAAATTTGATAACAATAAATAACTAATTTGAACAAGCACGTTGCATACATATCATAGTATCTACCTCAAAACTACCACAATGAAACTATAACCCCACAAAGTATCAAACTAAACGAAAAAATATTACGGCAACAAACTCATTCTCAGATATGACATTTCAAAAACAATGATTGTTATCAATTATCAATACTTGATTGGAGCAATGATCTCTAACTGGGGACCAAGCTTCTCCTCAGCAACCTTCTCTGCTTTGACCCTCAGTTTGTTCAATTGCTTCTTCCTCTCATATGCTACCTGAGCCCTCTCCTTTCTCTTCCTCTCAAGCTCCTACAAAGAGCAGAACAACATAAAGTCAGATAACATAAAAAACGAGAGCGTTTTCAACAAAGCAGAAACTTTATCACAGAGTTTTCATAGCGAAATGACACTATGCATATAGTATATCATCAAATATAATTTACAATATTCATTGACAGCCATCCCAAAGGGTTATCATCAAAGTTATGGGTTAGAGATACAAGAAACCATATTTCGGAGCAAGTTTAACCAAGAAACTGAAACTTCTAACAGATATTACCCCAAACGGCCATATAACTAAAAGTAGAATGCAAAAACTGATTATGTACGGCTTATCATAAGGAACTTTCACCTTCTCCCTATTTCCACAAATATAATATACATATACATGCAAAATAGTATATAATATAAAACTAAGAGGATGAACAAATAAAGGGCTGTATTATTGGTTAATTGCACCGAGTACAGACACATTTATATAGACAGGTCAACTCAACCAGTTTTATTATCAAGTTTGGTGGTTGTCCAAATATAAAACACAACAAAATCATACAAATGCAAACAATTTTTCTTGGATTTGGCTCAATTGCAAGTTGTGCACCCTAAATTATTGAGAAACTAAACATTCATGTATAGCAACTGCCAAGCATTGTGCACAAGCTCCAATCAGCATAAGCATTGGGTAATTGTACTACTTCGAAGTTTGAACCACATACCAAACAAGTGAAGGATTGAGAATAAAAGATCACAGCATGTCACAGCCAACCAATCAAAGAATAACTATATGCTGCAATCAAATCCAAATGGTGAAATAGGGTAGCAAGTCTCACCTTAATGGTGTCATAGTGGTTCCATCCAACTTCTGATGAGAGTCTGCCCAATAAGCAATACTTGTGTCCCTTTTGAAGCCTCAAAACCCTAGCATTTTAAGCAACCAAATTTAGTACGCAAGTTCTCAGGAGGTTTGGAACCATAACTTCCTAATGAGAACAAAGCAGAAACTTACTTGAGAGCATCAGGGATGACCATCCTCTTCATCTTATCATAAGGAGGTGGAACTCCCTCATAAGCCTTAAACCGAGCAAGGGCAGCAGCTCCACGTTTGGTCTTGTGAGGAATCATTCTAAAGCCAAATCAAACAGAATTAACTACCATATAAAACAACTCTTTCATTACCCCACACATCTGATAAAATAAACTTTGGGATTTTCCAAAGTTTCCACTTCAGTAATTAGCAAACAAAATTGCTCACCAAATCACCAACTCCATGGATAAAAGTAACAAGTTGTATCTCATTATCATAAATTACTAGATTGAACAACTGGAAAAAAGTTAAAACCCTAATCTAATTAGAAAATAAACACTTTACTTAACCTAAGTAGTAAAGAATATAATCAATAAATAACAATTAAATCATATAACAAAAATTTATATCCCATTTGCCAAACGAGAAAATAAGCTCATTCAAGCCAGAAGCCAGAAAGCCCAAAAGAGCTATAACCAAAATATGATACCATTAAACGTTCATTTGCCTCCATAAACTAACCAGATAAAACATTTCACACAAATCTGAACAAACCCACTTCCCTACCAACATAACAAACCAAACTTCACAGAAAACCATACAAATGCCAACGAGCCCACTTCCCTACCCACTTAAAAATCCAAACTTCACACAAACACACAAATCATCACCAGATTAAGAAGCCATAAACATACCCACGAATGGTGCGCCAAAGGATCTTAGCCGGAGCCCTGAAGTGAATAGGACCATGAGAAGGCTTAGTGTTCATTCTCTTCCTCAAGAACCTCATGTATTTCATCTTCTGCCTCACGAGCCCACCGGAGATGCAAATCTCTTCGCATCTAACGACCACAACTTTCTGCCCATTCAGGAGTTCCTTGGCCAGGACGGAGGCCAGGCGGCCCAGCATGTGGTGCCTGGCGTCCACCACCACTCTCTTCACGCAGATCCCGGAACCCGACACCATTGTTGTTAGTTTGTGGGTTTTGGTTGTGAAACGGCGGGGTTAAAATGAAGAGCAGAGGGAGGCGCTAGGGCTTTTGGGTTGTAGTTTTTATAGTGTGTGTGGGTTTTGTTGGGCTGTGGTGTTTAATTTTGGTGTATCGGTGATGGGTTGAGATCCGACGGTCTACATTGTATGAAAGGTGGGACCAACATGACTACAGAGATTTAGTGGGTGGAATTATAATTTTGTAAACACATTTCTGCTTATAATTTAAGAGTAAACGACTTTTTCCCACCCAAATAATTACTTAATGACACTTTTTCACTCCAAAATTTTTAAAATACTATTTTTCCATCCATAATAGTATATTTAATGACACTTTTTCGTCTACCCCATCAATCGTTAGTCGATTCCGACATCGTTGCGATTCCACACCATCATCATTATCTTCTTCAGTTATCATTTATCACTCACCAAAACCCTTTAAACCTTACTCCTGCTAACCCCGCCAATCGTCGGTAATTGAGCAATTAGGGTTTGCGTAGCCCTCCTCCCAAGTCAAATTCCAACAAATCACAACCACTAAAATCCAACCTTCAATCATCAAAAAACTCATCAGCCTCCAATCTTCAAAAGCTCCAAAAGAATAGATCGAGTTTGCTTTAAGTTTGTCAATGAATCAAAAAGTGTATTTTTTTGGGTGAAAAAGTGATATTTTTAAAAGTCTGTAGATGAAAAAGTATCATTAAACCATTATTTGGGTGGGAAAAAGTCATTAACTCATAATTTAAAAATAAAAGTGTCAAACTTGAAAAACTTACGGGTGTTTACTTTGCTTCTTACACGGTGGAATGGACGGGGGTTTCTCATTCCACCGTTTACTTGGGTTATATGGAATGCCCCATACCCAAAACTGGGGGAACCCCATTTCTTCCAAATTTGGGAGGAAGGGTATTCCATCAGCATCGAATGACCAAAAATTCCATCATTGCCCCTGTTTCAAAATTTTTTTTTTGCCAATTTATTTATATTTTAATTATATCATTTAATAATTGAACTATTATCTAAAATTTGAAATAACCATTGTACCCCCATCGCCATCACAACTATCGCGAGCAATCGACCACCACAATCGTCGTCTTTGATTGTCCATCGACATCTCATCATTGTCGATGTGACTTTTCATCGAAATCTCACTTTTGTCCTTATTGCAGGCACGTAAAGGAATGTCGGCCAACGATCTATGGATCTAAGTAGATGTTTGAAGTCAACGATTACCAAAGAGGAGTCATGTGCGATGACCAAATTTGTTGGCCACCGCGCATGACGTTGTTTCGGTGGTCATCGACGGTTGGAACCTGCCCAAACCATAAATCGTCAAACAGTGGTTGCACACGTGCCTAGGTTGACAATAGAAGTGCATCCAAAAGTCGTTGCCCGGAGATGTTGATCGACATTAACCAGTTCGGAATTTTTTTATTTAATAAAAATAATATTTTTATATTTATTAAATATAATAAATTGATATTATTTTAGTTATATTTATAATATTGTATTTTAATTTAATTATTTAATGAAATATTTTAAATTATTAGGTTAATTTGTTTAATATATTATTAAGGAATTTTATTGTCTAACAAAATATATGTATATAAAAATTTAATACTACGGGCATTTTCATCCAAAAATCATAATTTTATTCCATTTCATCACTACTCATTGTTACAAAGAAACATGTAATCAATTTTTTTTTGGGGTAAGTAAAAAAATAAAATGTAATCATATTTTATTCCTTCACATATTCCTATTCTCATCCCCGTCCTCTATACGACTATACCTATACTCATTCCCATGCATTCTCATATTTTTCTAAAGGTCGAAATTCAATTTCCCACTCTAGGTTTTATGAAATTACATGTCCCACCCTTTGAACCCCAAACTACAGATAACTACCCAAATCTTGACATATTAATGCTTTTTGGCTTTTGACACATCTGTAGAGGGAGTAATTATAAATTACCTCTGACTATTTGACTTTTATTATCTTCTTATTAAATAATCAAAGAACATGTTAAAGGACTCCTTAACCATAATCTTAATTAAATATTCCCATAATATCCGTAAATATAAAACCTTATATATTTCACAAAATTGTACATTTAACTCTAAATTAATCATAAATCACAAAATTAATAATAAATTACTACCCATTAACTTATTGGTACATTCATACATACTATACTTACATATATACCCTATATACATGTGTACCGATAAATAAAAACCTAGATTCATACCTATATAAATACATAAAAACATTCATACAATAGGGTTTATTTTTGGTGAAAACCGGTAATTATAAAAGAATAAAGAATTACAGAGAAAAGAGGACGTAAATCCCTCAGCAAAGACACCCCTTTTACAGACCCAAGGAGGTGCAAAAGCAAAAAACCAGAAGGCCAAAACAATCCTATCCTAAGAGCCTAGCAAAACACATCTATAAAGCCAAGAAAACAAGCCACAATAGACCCAAAGAACAGGCAACAAAAGCAAAGCACAGGCAAGTAAACTGGGGATTGAACACTGCAAAACCACCAATAAGCAAAACTGCACAAAAAACACAAGCTGAAGGGAAAACAAAAAGATTGCAAGAAAACTAAGCTTAGAATCTAGTAGATGCTATCACCTCTCTTGCTCCAATTTTTACAAGCATGGATAAAAAAATAATTTACATAGAAAGGCCTTCTGGCGGCCAAATTGCACCTGATTGATACTCATTTTACAGCAGTTGTGATCTAAACTTACATTTTCCATAAGATGAGGAAATAGGGGTTTGTCAGCTTGACTGGTGAGAGAAAGCTAATAGAGGATAGGAATGACTAGACCTAGCAAAACGGGTGGGTCGATCTAAACAGTCCAAAAATATTGGACTCGCACCCTACCTTGTGCGGGTACGGGTGGATATGTGGGTACCCGCATTATTCATTCCAGTTTTCAATTCTTGCAATTACCCTACAATTTTTGTACTTTTAATATTTTACAGTTACACCTCATAATCAACCACTCCAAATTCAATTAAATTCACCACAAAAGTTCACAACCAGTTCAATTTCTCATGAATTTAAGACTAGCAAGCATATAGAAAACAAATATATAAACACTAATACACAAAAACAAATACCAAACACAATAACACAAATATAAAAACATAACATAAATTTAACTTGACATTGTTTAACTAAAGAGATTCTTGGTCAGCTCATATTCATTCCACAATAAGGGTGATAGTAGAGTCTCTTGATTCCGCAATCCCCATATTAGTTAATGGCACATGAAGGAGATCATCATCTACAATTATCAACTATAAATATTAATAAATGTAAATAATAAAACATATGAAATATTATGTTAACATGTTACCTTTATTTTCATATCTGTATAGCCAAGTCCGAGTGCATATCAAAGATTGTGCATTTTCTGGTTGAAGTGAGCTTCAAAACTTGTTGAGCACTTTGCTGCCAATACTAAAAGCGGACTCCGAAGCAATGGATGTTATCAGTATACTCATGATATCACGAGCCATCATGGCAAGTATTGGATAAATATCACAATTGTTCTTCCAATGCTCAAGGATATACATATTCTAATGTTTGATGCGATCAAACCTGGTCTCTTCAAAATAAAGATCCAATTCAGATTTCTCTTTCATAGTTGTCAAAATCCTGCACCATTTAAATAGTTAAGTAGCAAAAGTTAAAATTAAACAATAAACAATACTTTATTAATCGCAAGAATATAAAAAAATATAGTGACTTACACAAGTATGATCTATATGCCTACTAAGAGTATGACCACTCTCAGGAGAAACAACTGAAGGTGTGGTGGGAACTCCTTTGAAACATTGAACCTCGTAAGCTTGAAAAAGCTTATGCAAGTTATGCTTAACAACCTCCATCTTTTGTTGGGCAGTAATTAAATCATAAACCTTTTTGTAAGCATACTCCACAAACTAAAACTTAAGACATGGGTCAAGAATAGTTGTAATAGTTAACACAACGCTATAAGAATCCAATATTTTGTAAATTTTGGGATCATTTGTTCCGTCATGCTACTAATAACTTCATCCTCTCTTCATTTAAGCACAATTGAATTTCCCATGCACATTTAAGGTACAAGTTTGTTGTAGGGTATTTGTGTTGGAGTAGGTGCCCTAGAGCCAATCAATTATTGTAGAATTGACTCTCTGAAATAATGTTTATTAATCAATAAAAGACAATTTTCTTCTATATCATGTAAATCATAATTGCATGTATTGATATATGTCTTTAGGATGGTAGAACCGTGACGAGGGTATCAAGTGTTTCAAATCTTGATAGTGAGAACCCTATGATCACATATGATGGCCATTATAGAAATGTCTATAGCCCCAGTATTATTATGACCAAGGACACAGATAATACGGTAAGGTTATTATATTGTTGAAAGACCTTGTCGAAAGACAGTGACTGATCTCACTTGTCAAGGTTGTTTGCTGACAACCTGGTACGACACATGAGTGTTTGCTATAGGCAAGTTCACTGGACAAACCCACTAGAGGATTCTATATAGATGGTAACCCTAGTGTCTATGGAATAAATTCTCTAACGAATGGTGGTGCATGTGATCCTTAGACTTGAGATCACTGGAACACCTTGTGCATCGATTGGTGTAGTTTGACACCAGCCTAACGTAGTTCTATTCAAAGCTATCAATACGGTAGTGATTGACTGCATTGAGAAGTGTATCAAGACTATGGTGGATCAACAAAAGATTTATCACTCTCGGATATGGGAGAAGTTATCTCACGACGCAATTCAGTGAATGACAAGACACTAAAGCTATGGCTACAATGAGATTGAGTGTTGTTCAATCCAATTATTATTCTAGTCGTTGGTCCAGTAACTGAATACAAAGATATCGAAGATAACTGAGGTTGACACTATTTCTTTACCTTAGCCCCGATAAGATAACAGATGATGAAA